ATGTGCTGCCCAGACTATTATATCTATTCCAAACTCTAGCAATTGACTTACCCAAGGATATGTTCCAGGAGTTGGACAAAGTAATATCGCGATTTATTTGGCAAGGGAAGAGGCCAAGAATTAGATTCAAGACTTTACAACTGGCGAAAAGCAAGGGAGGCCTCTCCCTACCGAATATGATAAATTATTATAGGGCAACCCATGTAAAGATTTTGGTCAATATCTGTAATCCATCCTATAGTGCGAAGTGGAAAGACATCGAATGTCAGGTATCCTGTGATATTCCACTACAAGCAATTATCGGGGACCCTGGTTTAATCGATTGTCTTAAAAGTGTCAACCCTTGGATAAGAACCTCAATTAAGGTGTGGCACGGAATATTAAGGCAAGACAAAGAAAATAGCCCATACTTACTTCTAAGATGGATTGGGTATGACTCAGATTTCTTACCAAACAGAATGGATACAGGATTTAAAAAATGGGTCGGAAAAGGGTTAAGGATATATCGGGACCTCCTCAAGGGGGGTGTGATGCGACAATTCCAAGATCTTAGAACCAATTTCGGATTGAGTAATCAAGATTTCTATAGATTCTTGCAGCTTAGACATTACCTCGATAAAATTTTAAGCGCAGGATGGGTCCAACGAAGTGGTTTCGGCTTAATCAAGATATTCCTATTATCTTATGGGTCAGATCCTGGACGGGGTACTATATCGAAAATTTACAAAGAGTTGCAGGAACTAGAAGGTGGAGATACAACATACATAAAGAACAAGTGGGCTAAGGAGGGTGGCATTACAATTCAACCGGAAGCATGGGAGAGAACAATAGTACAGCAATGGAAGTGTACATCAGCTCTCTCTTGGAGGGAATTTGGGTGGAAGAATGTAGTCAGGTTTTTTAGAGTTCCGGCCCAAGGGACTTCACAAGGAATGAGTACAGCCTGTTGGAGATCCTGCGGTAATAGCAAAGCCTCACATTTTCATGTGTTTTGGGAATGCCCGGTCATCTCCAAATACTGGGAAGAGACAAGGATGATTATGGGTAGGATTATGGGAACAGTGGTCCCACCGACTTTTGAAGCCCTGTACTTGGGACTGGAACCTGACTTTATCATTAACTTTCCCCAGAAATACACATATAACATCTTATTGTTAGCAAGCAAAAAAGCAATCACAAGAAGATGGTTGACAAGAGATCCTCCAACAGTCAAAGACTGGACTAAAGTGGTCGGGGAAATTTTTGAAATGGAGAAACTGACATCTATTCTTCGAGGCGAACGGGAGAAATTTGAGACATTATGGGATACCTGGATAAAATTTACGGAAACCTAAGTGCTTAAACAGATAGTTGAGTTACCCTATTGGCCCCATTCCACTCAAGTTAGTTTATTTTTGTTTATTATTATTTTATTTTATTTCATTATTTTTTTTTACTTGTATGGCACAGTGTTCAGGACATTGTATACGCGGGAGGGCAGTAACTGTGATCCGTTTCACCGGGAAGTCTATGTGATGTATGTACTATTTTGATGCCCGGAACTGATGTGGTTCTGTGTATCTGAACACGTGACCATGTTTTTCTTTTTTTATAACTGGTTAAAAAATTCAATAAAAAGTTTAATAACAAAAACTATCATCCCTCTGTGATTGTTTTTCAGAATACTTTGGAGCTGAAGCGACAGGACTCGAGCTGCTAACAAGTTGACTTGAAGCGAAACCAAAGGACTTGTTTGCCAAATGGACAAATCATACGGTAAAAGAAAAAAAAGTGTAACTCAACTTTATTTATGTACTTTTTCAACAAGGCACAGTACAACAACCATTTTATCTGTACAAATCAGATAGAATATACACGTGACAAACTACTGTATGTGGTGTGAGTGCTTACAAAAGATATCTAATAAACAATAGAAATGACATAAATGGCACATTTTGTTACATTTCATCCTTGATTGTCACAAACGACTTACGCAGCGTTGCCTTTAGCGGGCAGCCATTTGGGGGCCTGGAAAAAGCTACAAACTTTTACCACCGAGACCAATGAGTAAATTAGTGTGGAACAGGTCAGCAACTAAATGGAGTTCCTCCCCGAGATCTAAATGCAGCAAAAATAAGGCACGCAATTCCCATAACAGAGATATTGTCTGAACATAAACAACAGGGAAGACGTGAATTTACTCGAGTACAAATGAATTGTTTAAAAAAAAAAAAAAAAAAAAAAAACAGACCACAGCTCATTGGATTATTTGACTAATCCTCCGCGTGAGAGTGGATTTTATACCATCACTTCGAGAGAAGTCTTTCATGGATTTGGGATTTTGACCAAATTTGTTGAGAAAGTAGACGAAACGATCATTCGTCATCGACTTTTGCTTTGATTTTTTCATCCTCGGCGCCTCCCCCTCATGCTCAAGACAGTGCTGAGGTTTAGATCGAGTACTGCGGAGGCGGCTGTCGCTGAGGGATCAAAAAACATCTGGACTTTAGTCACACTTAAACAGGTTTCGAAGTTTGGTTTTGAGCCAGATTGAGGGTTTCCAGTTCGTGGTTCAGGACAGGGATGGGATTGCAAATTAGGGCTTCACATCATTTGAAGCAATAATTTGAGTTTCATGTCAGGATTTCAAGACTGGATTACGGTTTTAAAACAGGATCAGAGTTTCAAATCAGCATTAGTGTTTTGGTGAGGTGAAGGATTTAAAATATGTTTTTAAGGCAGGATTGGGGTTTGAAAATCAGGATTTCAAGACAGGATCAGGGTTTCAAATTAGGGTTAAGATTTGAAGCAATGATCAGGGTTTCAAGACAGGATCGGGGTTTCAAATCAGGGTTTTAATGCCAGGATTGGGGTTTCAAACTGGGATTGGGTCTTTATTGGGGTTAAGGGTTTAAATTAGGTTTTCAAAATGGGATTTGAAGTCACCGTTGGGGTTTCAAGCAAAGGATTGTGTTTCAAAGTAGCATTTCAAAACAGGGTTGGGATTTCAATCAAGATTGAAGGTTTGAACGAATGTTTGAAGCCTTATGTGCTGGTGCTGCATTCAAAGTTCCAGTGGTGGTCTAGATGGCATGCTCCCTCTGGCCCTCAAACCCGTTGAGGACTCCGCGCTCCGGCTCGGAGGCCAGGGCCGCCTCCCTCAGCACCACCATGTGGTCCTCGGCCGCATGCAGCGATTGGTCGATCCAATCCAGGCTGCCCGACATGTGGCAGGCGTTGCGGGTGACCAGGACCAGGTGGCTGACCGACAGGAGAAGAGCGGTTGCTCTGCGGTGGTGGGAGAAACGTCAAAAAAGGCAGGCGGCTTGTATTTCATTCAAAGGTACAATACAAGAGTGTGACAGTCTCGTTTCTTTATTGTCACACTTTCAATTCTTTTTACACTCCAAACGGAGACTTTTCCCACATTTAAATTACAAGATGCAAATTGCACGGGGTGCTGGTTTCGCAACGGATTCAAACCATTCAACTTTAAAAATGTACAGCTTAATCAGGACTCCCGAGCTCAATTTTTCACATTCCAATAATTCTCAACTTTTCAGAATTCCACATTTCACACGGAAATTCCTTTAGAACCTTTAATTCTAACCATTCCGACGGCAAACTGCATTGTGTTGAATATATTACATTGTCGCTAATGCTAGTTGACAGCCTTGTCGTTGTCGTCGGCCATGTCTTTTGTTGTCTTTAGTAGAGGATTGGGATCTGACTGCTGACTGACAAGTTATTCTCTCAATTTCCTGCACTGTGTTTATCATCGCACTCCTCTTTGTTAGTCAGTGGTACACTTCAGTGGTGATGTGACAAAACAACAGTAAAGTTTTTTTAATTGATTATTTATTTTCTTACCTGGCATCCAGCAGGATTGGATCCAAAGGCGGGTACATGGATCGTACCACGTCGTCCACCCTATTAAATATAAAAAATAAAAAATTTGTTGGCATGTTAGCCACTTGGCTAAGAGGTCAGCAAACTCAACTCAACTTTATGTATAGAGCACTTAAAAAAAAAACAATCACAGCTGCATACAAATTGATGTACATAAAGTCAAAATCAGACATATTAAAACAGGAAACAGTAAAACACTAAAACAATGCAGAGTCTCATGCCAAGTCGAAAGGCAAAGAATAAAAATGTGACATGACCTCTAAAATGTACATAGAGCCAGTGAGGGGAGGCCAAAAGTAGATGTGCTCAATTAAGAGGCGAGCAGCAGCATTTTGGACCAACTGGAGATGCTTGATGGAGGACCGGCTGACTCCAAAATAAAGTGCGGTACAGTAATCCAGTCGAGAGACATCACCTGGGGCTGATGCGCTTTGCCACAGTGATGATGTCGCTCAGGCTGGCCGGCGCTTTGACTTTGGCCCCGGAGCCCATCGTCAGGGCAACCAGTTTCTCTGTCAGCGTGTGACAGATCTACAAAGAAAAACAGCGTTAGTGTCCATCAGTAACAACAGAAAGTTGTCTTTCATTACCTTCAGGATAGCGATGCAGTGAGAGACCAATCCGCTGTAAAAAGAAAAGACATAATTTGATCCGTCCAAGGTGTACACCACCTTGGATGGACGCTGATGCTGAAAACATACGAGGCATCCTCGATCCAGTCCTCGTTCTCCAGGATGGCCTCAATATGCGGGTTGGTGATGACCACGTCGTCCAGTTCCAGCTCAGACAACTCGCTCTGCGTCTCCATGGCGCCAATCAGGTCCACTGTAGGTCTGACGGAGCGGGAAGTGTGTGTCACTCATTTGTTTGAATATCAGGTTTACCGAATGATTGGTCCAGATGCCCACTTGGAATCAAAGTGGTGAAGCAAGTGGTGCGGGTGGCAGTAACGATGACGGCAAACCACCACCAGGGCGGCCAAGGATGCCAGGAAGATGGTGGCCAGCACCCCAATGGCCACAATCACTACTGTCTCCATGGCGACGACCCGGATAGCGACTGGTTCGAGGGTCGAGTTTAGGGACGGTAGTTCATCTGGGGAGAATGCATCGTTAAAAAAAAAAAAAATTAGATATTATTAAATATATATTATCACTTGTCCTCTTTACCACTGTCAACGACTTTGTTGCAAAATCGTGTTTTTTCTATACACAATATTAACGTTTCTTTTTCACCGTAATTATGCAAGCCATCCCTTGGCGCCACACTCTACTGAGGAATGCTGTAATTCTTTAATCTGATTATTTTTGGATTAAGTGGCCCGTGTCATACGGAGCTTTTCTCTGAACAAAACTCAACATTATGTTCTCGGCAAAAGGCACACATTTTATAAAATTGAAAAGTCACAAATTCAACACCTGTACATTATTTCACAGCACTTATTCACACAGGAAGGCTAATAAATAATGGCAGTAATTGACGACAATAGACAGCAAAGTCCATTATAAAACTCGGATGATTAAATTAAAAACAAAACGTTTTTTCTTCTTCTATGGAGGCTATTTTTGCTCTCAAATGCATTGCTCCAATAGGGTGTGTGCATTCAAATACAATGGAAGAGACAAAGACAGTGAATAAACACTGCAAACAAAACTGTCAAAAACTATAAACGCTGAACTTGTTTTCCGCAAAAAAAATCTACAAACAGAAATATGACTTACCTTACATTTCACCACCCAAAACTAACACAAACAAACAAAAAAAAGTTTACACCTCCTCGTTCAGCAGCAGGACGAAGGCGGAGCGGAGACGTCGCAGACATCTCCAGACAACCAGGACACGTGAACGCGCCTCAGGAGAATCAGCCAATGAATGAAAACTTTTTGGTACGCGCGCGCCCGCTCAGTCACCTTTTTGGAGGGGTCGTGTGCAGACTCAACGTTAGATGGCGCGCGGCGACTGCTTTACCCAACAAGCATAGTACCGTAACCAAAGTTTCTGTAAGTACGTGTTCGTTATACTTTGAATACATTCATGTATATATACACATTTAATATATGAATTACATATCATGCGTGGTATTACATTTAAAACATTTATCCTTTTTGTCGAAGAAATATACTTCCGGTTTGGCATCGAAGTATGTGGTGACGTCACACGCCATCTGAAGTGCCCGTATCGTGTCACACATGCAAGTCTGAAGTCATTTTGTCATGCCTGCTTGGATGCATCCAAAATCCGGTTTACCTGTGAAGAAGACCAACAAAAAGTAAAGTAATGCCGATTTATCAAAGCTGAACGCATGTGTAATGCCTCTAAAATAATGTTTGTCTAGTTGTCAATCACACAGACTTACATTTGTTCCCCCCTCTCTCACTCCAAAACGTGACTGGAGAAGTATTTCTTTTTATTGTTGTTGCTTTTCATTACAACGGACAAAAGCGGTTTTTCAATCACTTTTCAAATGTAGTTTTTAGTCCAGAATGTCATTCATTCATTTTTAAACAGTGTTACATTTACAATTTTTGACTTCTTGCATGACCTTTATTCATTGTCAAACTGTATTTAGTCCATGTATTGCTGTATGGCTGCAGAGCTGTCAGGAAGCACATCTGTAAAGGGACCCTCTTTCCCTTCTCTCTTTAACTTTTTAAACACTGCACTTGTACACCAATCATCTAGTTAATGACCCGCGCCCAATGTGACTTTGCCACATTGCCAGCATAGAGATAATTCCACTGTCTTTTCATAAAGTCTGGTGCCTCAGCGGCTGGTTGGAGCGTGGTTAGTGCAGGTGTGTTTTTTTTTTCTATGATTCCCACAGTAATGTACATCATTTCCTCTCGGGCCCTTCGCTAGCAGGTGAAGAGTTTCTCAATAGGCACTCGACAGCTTATCAAACGTCAGCACTGGCTTCAGAAGACATTGCGACAGAGATGGACAGGGAGAGGACATCAAGATATAATTGAAGTATTTGCTGGGCCAAGTGCTGCCTCGGCGGGTGTCAGTCCAACATCAAAGGACGTCTGGGCTTTTGGTGATACAAAGAACGTTTCAAAGTAAGGTTTTGAGCCAGGGTTAGAGTTTCACATTGGTCGTAACATGCTGTAATATGCATCCCGGGCCACTAGTTGGTGGTGTCACTTTAGCTGGAATATGTAGTTAATGCTGCTGGGAATTCTTTTGTATGTTGGGGTGGAGACGACGATGATGACGATGATGATCACGATGGTGGTGAAGATGTCGGGTGGGAGGGGGTTTGCAGAATGGTGCAACGTCCTTGAGAAGCAATGAGACTCCAACGGGCACTTGCCCAAGTATTTCTGCCGCTTCTTTATTCCCGTTGGCATCTTTTGAAGGGAATTAGATCCTCTTCGAGCCCTTCATCTTCTTCTTCTTGCCGGGAAAGGCGGAAGACAAAACTGGTCTTTTGTCACTTTCCTTGGAGATTAAGGGATGTTGTCGTGTGCTTGTAATACAATTGGTCTTCTTCATCCCGTCACAGTCATCTCTTTGCACACATTTCCTGCTCCGTATGTTTTCATCTTCCAAATGGAAGCCTTTCTATGAGGGCGGCACAACTGGTCGAGATGCCAGGGTGGTTAGGGTTTTAAATGAGGCTTTTGAGAACAACATTTTGCTTTTAAATGAGCTTTAAATTCAAGAATAGGTTTTTAAAGTAGGGTTTACAAGCCCAGGTTAGATTTTAGACTGTGTCTCGCTCAGCTTCCGAATGGAAGAATTAGAATTTCAAGCGGCGGTCGAGGTTTCAGATCAAAGGTTCAAACCAAAATGAGGGTTTTGAAATCAGAGTTCAAAAGATTATTAGACTTTTGAATTAGAGCATCAGGCCGAGTTTATGGTTTCAAATTATGGTGTCACGGTGATATTTTGCTTTGAAATTTGTGCTTTAAAGCCATGTTTAGGTTTTCTCATTTGGGTTCCAAGATGAGGTTGGTGGTTAAAATTTATGGTTCAAGACAGTCTTTTGCTTTTTGAGTAGGGTTTTTAAGACAGGTTCAGCGTTTCAAGCCAAAGCTCCAAGTAAACGTTAGGCTTTCAAGTGGAAGTTGAAATTCAAGGTTAGGTTTTTAAATTTGAGATGACAAACCCAGTTTATGGTTGGAAATGAGAGTTTCAATACGGTGTTAAAGTTACTCAAGCAAAGGTTTTGAGCAAGTGTGAAGGGGCTTCAAAACGGTTTCACATTAGTTTCAGGAATAGGTTTCGGTTTTTAAATCGGGTTCACCAGACAATCTTAGGGGTTGATTTTTTAAGTCATATTTTTCTAATAACACCCTTTTCCACTCCACACGTCGATTGAAGGGAGTGCAAATAGGATTAGCGGCCTCCCTCTCTGGCCTCCCTCTCTTTCTTATCACCGCATTGCTCGCTTTGCCTCTCCTTGGTTTCTCACCCTAATCTCTGAGCGCGCGTGCGTGATATCGACGGATCTGAGACCCGTGCGGAAAGTCGCAGCACTCGCTTTTCTCACACTGCTTGTCCAATCACGGCCAAATTACCCAAGTTCATCTCCTGGTCGTGTGCTTCAAATGTAAATTTTCATTTCCACAGCAAGTGGAAACGAGAAGTGTGGAGTCACCGTAACGGCCATCAATCATAGCGCGGTCACAGCTTCAGATTTGATTTGCATTCATTGGGCAACAGCATCCCAACATGTGAGACGACAGTTTCTCCCCCGCTTCCTTCTCACATTGTGTAAAATCCCTGCAGAGAAACACTGTAAATGATCAACTCATCGCTTGTGAATATGCAGCTCATAAAACGACACAGAGGATGACGATGAATCAACGTATATCTGCGGAAATCACCGGACACGAGCAAAGAACGTCGCAACGGGTCAGGCTGGCTAATTGACACTTGCCGCGAATTAGCGTTGAAATGCTAATTATAGCAGAAAAACCATGACTCGACAGAATCCTGAGGAGGACATTCACTTAATGGCCAGAACTATCGCCACCCCTCCTACTCCCTCGCAGTGGATTTCATGTTGTCGCCTCCAATTCGGCGCGCACCGGGGAAAAGCCTCTGTATTTTCCTGAGCCGCTCGCCCACTGCCGCTGTGGAGTGGTGAAGAGTTCAAACAAAACGGCGTTGCACTCGGGGCTGAGTGACACCCACGCTTTGTTCTCCGCAAACGGTGAGCACGTCTGCCGACGACATCATCATGGAGCCTTACTGTAGTCATGCTTCGGCGATTCAGTGAGGACTCTCCCGCTAATGGAAACATAGCAAAGCTAAGACAGCTCTAATAACTCATTTGGGAGAGACTGTCAGAGGACAAATCTATACTTGTGTGATGTCAAATGGAATATTGAGATCCAAGACTGGCTCAAGTGACACGATTAGTGTCCTGACTTGTTTCTTTTGTCACCCATTTGGCCTGATTTGCGGCTACGTGGCGTAAGGAGAAAATCAATTGGGGCTCTCCCCCCCAAACAAAATCAGGCTTCCATCAAATACCTCAGTCGATACAGTAGAAAATGCACCTGATAAATGTACCTATTTAAAAGAAGAATCAATCCATACGTTTGTGAAAACAATCTTAAAAGTTTTCCCACAAAACCTTTAAGACTTTAATCGAAGGTTTTTGCGAAAATAGACAGTGAAATGCTAACTAATGCTATGGCTACAAACGGCAATGGAAAAACAAACTCCAGTCGAGATCTACTTTTGTGAGAGAGCCAGTTCAGCCATAACAAAGTGATTCTTTTTATTTTGTTTTCTCGGACGGACGAGAGAAAAGGCCTTAAAAATTGACGGGCTACGCCGTTCATGTTTTATATTGCTCAGGCAAAAAGAAAAAAAGATGATTAATCAAGCTAGCAGACTTTCTTAAGATGAAGTTGATGCACCGCTCTGTGTTCGACCGATAAATCTTTTAATCTGACTAATATCAAAACGTCACCAGCCATGAACCTCACGCACGTCACTGATGCGACCTACACCTGAGTATGTTTCTGTTCTCGCTACTATCTCCGTCCATGATGTTTGTTTTTAGTTTTGTCTGCTTGCTGGCATGGAGCCTGCAAAGTTGCAGCACTTGACATGACCATCCTCACCCTCCTTGTGCGCTTTTGTTTATTAAAGGCAGACCTCAACTCTTCTTCCTCTTCTTCTTCCTCCTCCTCAGAGCAAAGTCAGATGTGATTTCCATGGCAGCTTTTTCCTCGAAGCCGTATGTGACCATTGGAGCATGAGAGCGTGAGAGCGCGGCGGCTCAGGTGCGTACATAAGCTTTTCTTTTTTTTTTTTTGTACTCCCCGCCCCCTGTGTATCTGTGCACCCATGACTGCATTGTTGTTGGCTAAGCGTCCCCGGCGAGGACGACACTTCCTACGGGACGCTTAGCTGAGTGCCAGCTGAGCCCAAACCCTCCGGGGAGGCGCACAGCGTCTCCCAGGGCTCATCAGCCGCGCTGACTTCCCAGGAGGCCGCTCAACACCCGAGTTATGGCTAAACGCATTTGAACTCGCTCGCTCAAAGAAACGGCAGCACCGAGGGAGCCACAAACAAACAAAATGTTTGAATGTTTTTATCGTCATTCATGAAATCGAGATAGACTTGAATAGACCATTATTGGACTACAGTTTTTACATTTAAACTATTTAAAGGAAAAAAATATGAATAATCTAATTTGATTGACCGAATTAAACATTTTTTGGGGGAGGGGCAAGATGCTAAAATCTGCCATACAGATCATCAAAAATACACTCTCCCACCCCGATTTTATTGGAAACATAAAAACCTTGCAAAAATGGCAAAAGTTGAGTCAGAAGTTTTCACTGGCTCAGTTGTAAAAATAAAGAAATATATTTTGATGACGATATGTTGAGGCCCAAATGCAATTATTTGGGGTGGGGATATGACATAATTCTCGGCCGATTACAGAAAAGAAGAGGGGGAAATCCTTTTTACCCCCCCCCCCCCCCCTCCGCCCCAAAAAATATTGACATTATTTGCAATGTTTTTTTTCTTTAGGGGAGAAAAAAAAAAGAGTTTTTCCCATTTAGATTACTAATTTCCAGTATTAACTGCAAGTAACTTTGGACAGTTCTCCGGCAGGTAATAACTTCTTCAAAAATGTTGTTTTTGAGAAAAGTAGGAAAAGAGCTAATTGGGCTCAAACTGGAGCCAAAACAGCCTCCAGCAGATCTCTGCGACTTTTTATTTATCCTGCTACTGCGTTTGGCCTGGAGCCAATGCTGGACAACACACAAGTGCACACACAAAAAAGACTTGTCACACGTGCCTTTATTTGACGAGCCATTCGTGTGCTCTCTCTCTCACACACACACACACACGCACACACACACACACACACACACAAACACCACACTCGCTCGCTCAAAGAAACGGCAGCACCGAGGGAGCCACAAACAAACAAAATGTTTGAATGTTTTTATCGTCATTCATGAAATCGAGATAGACTTGAATAGACCATTATTGGACTACAGTTTTTACATTTAAACTATTTAAAGGAAAAAAATATGAATAATCTAATTTGATTGACCGAATTAAACATTTTTTGGGGGAGGGGCAAGATGCTAAAATCTGCCATACAGATCATCAAAAATACACTCTCCCACCCCGATTTTATTGGAAACATAAAAACCTTGCAAAAATGGCAAAAGTTGAGTCAGAAGTTTTCACTGGCTCAGTTGTAAAAATAAAGAAATATATTTTGATGACGATATGTTGAGGCCCAAATGCAATTATTTGGGGTGGGGATATGACATAATTCTCGGCCGATTACAGAAAAGAAGAGGGGGAAATCCTTTTTACCCCCCCCCTCCGCCCCAAAAAATATTGACATTATTTGCAATGTTTTTTTTCTTTAGGGGAGAAAAAAAAAAGAGTTTTTCCCATTTAGATTACTAATTTCCAGTATTAACTGCAAGTAACTTTGGACAGTTCTCCGGCAGGTAATAACTTCTTCAAAAATGTTGTTTTTGAGAAAAGTAGGAAAAGAGCTAATTGGGCTCAAACTGGAGCCAAAACAGCCTCCAGCAGATCTCTGCGACTTTTTATTTATCCTGCTACTGCGTTTGGCCTGAGAAAAGAAGTACAACTTTGTCACAACTAAAAAAAAAAAAAAGAGCCAATCTGGCAGCTACAATAAGCATTTGCGTGTGTTTTTGTGTGTGTGTGTGGATGTTTGTGTGAGGTTCACCAGTGTGTGGTTAATATCTGCCTCATGCTGGGTGTTGCATCTCTCACCCTCCACACACACACACACACACACACACACACACACACACACGACTTCCATGGCTAATAAACTCATATCTCTTGCTCTCACCCACACACGGTTTTAAATATTATATTACGATACTCAAGAAATATGGCTGTATTTGCCAACGGGAGCGGCACCAGTCAAAAGATTAGGAACATATGCGCATACTAATATTGCCAATACACCAGCCATGACAAACCAACAAAATATCTAAACGTGTGGAGTAAAATACTGAAAAATACACTATCAAAAATGTATAGAACGATTAAAGTTATAATCAAATAAATAATACAGAATGTATGAAAAATGAACACATTATGCATGGGGAAAAACTATTAGAAAATGATACTTGGTACTTGACAAAAAAAATCCAGTGGATGAAAAATATTTGCGCAAAATACTAGACATGGAAATGGCGAGGAGGAAGCACACTTTGGGTATCGTAGTTCGTACCCTCGTCCTGGCGCCCAGCTTGTCGTTGGCAACGGCACAATGGCGGCGGCTGTTAGCAGTGAGCTAAATGTCAAATGGTTTGTCAAACACTTGTTGTTCTTACCGATCACCCACTGTGCGACGCGCTTGAAGGTCAGCGTTTTTTTTTTTCTCAAGCATTGATGCCGGAATGTTCCACATGATCCCGCTGTGACTTCACCGTGGATCAATTTTACAGTCAAAACCAAAAGGTCAAACGGGGGAGGGGGGGGGGGGGTCGATCGTTTTGGTCGATCGTTTTGGGAGTGAACCAGAACTTCATGTGGACAACAGTACTTGGACACCTTTGACCTTCACACCCCTTCTTGTATTTTATCAGCCTGTCAGTGCGAGCAGATGCTCATTTTTCTCTCGTTGATTTGGCGTGTCACACTGATTTATCTGGCCGCTCCTTCGCCCGCCGGCTCATTACCGTATCGCCACCTTGTTATTAAAAAGGACCCCTCGCCCTCATCGCTGCAACCTTTCTCTGTTTGAGATCTCCAGCGAGGAGACGTGATGGCTGATCAAATTCCTCATCATTGTGCTCTCACATTTCAGTTGATCACTTTCACACGATCACTAAGATTAGTCGCCGGTCAATCACACGGCGTTATTTTTTCTTTCTTACTCTCTTAAGTCCTGTTTTGTCAAACCCATTTTCGGAAACCATATAAAGAAGTCAAGAATAACAGTTTATTCAACTGTTGTTTAAGTCACTGTTATGAGGGGTTTGGCAACAAGAAAATGCTTATATCTCTCTTACTTATTATGTATGAGAAGATGAATTTTGGTAGAAATTTTAGCAAGCATCATGTAAGTTGAAATGTTTGATTTGGTTTCACGGGCCACATAAAATGATGTGGCGGGCCAGATCTGGCCCCCGGGCCTTGAGTTTGACACCTGTGACTTCGGGGTTAAGATTGTTGAGTCTCTCCAATGAAAATGCCATAAAATGAATACCGTGCCAAACTGAAATGAGCCGCGCTGCTAAGATGAAACGGGGTTTTTGTATCCTCACATTATCCAGCATATTTGAATGCTGTTCTTGAACTTTAACTGTCTTTCACTCACTTTTTCGTCATCTTCCAAAGTGCGTCAGAGAAGAAGCGGTCTGTTGAAGTTTCATTACAGCGGTGGGGAAGCGGAACGGTAGCTTTAATAACATTTTATCAGACCGCTCTCATGTACCAGGCCATAAAGCGGAGTGAGCGATGGGCCCCGCGCCGAAGTATCGACTCGATGCGGCCAGATAGCCTTGCTGCCGTTTAGCTTCAAGCATAGTGTGAGACTTTTTATTTTGGTGGGATTTAAAGAAGACAAAGGCAGCGCTCATATCAGCGGTTACCTTTTTTTTTTTTTCTCTTAGTCATCCCCAGCTGCTCCCGCCAGTTGCCAGGGAACCGATACAGACAGAACGCTGCCTCTTATCTTGTCATGCGTCTAATTTCCTGCCGACTGCCTCTCCCTTGTGGCTCCTGTTCCCGTGACGATGGAGATGAAAGGCGCCTGGGGGGGTGTGGGTATTTTGGTGGGAGTGGGGGATGCCGCCACTAAGACAACAGGGCCGAGGATGGAGAGGCTTGTAATGACTGTACAAACAAATGCGCCCTACGGACCCCCCGTTGCTGGGGACGACCTTCCCTGTTCTGAACAAGCACGCTTCCTTTACGTCAAGCAATCTTTTTCAGAAACTGATCAGATTGGTCTCTTTTAGGACTGCTAACACACTCTGTTTTATTGTATTGGTCGTTGAGCAAATGGAGGCAAAATATTGAAAAATGTAATAGCCCCGCATTCAATTTACAACACTCGTTTTCGAGAAATATTCCCATCAAACTGAGCGATATTGAATGGCCACCCACCGAAAGTCATGATATTTTATAACAGTATTCTTGGTGTTTGTCTTAAATAACACTAGCTGCTTTTTACTGAAAGGATACAACGCTTTATTAAAAAAAAAAAAAAAGTCAGACAGCTGCAAAGCTAGCACACAGTTTCATGAGGTAAACCAGCAATCAATACAAAACAATATTAAATCTTTAGTTTCTTGAAAAGAAGACTCACTATTGATAGTGCACGGTCATAAAAAGAGATGTACTGTCTTATATAGATTTTTTTGTTTTGTTTTGTTCAAGCTAATTTTGTTTCACTTGTCTGTCTGGTTCATTTCCCAAAAAGAACACAACATATGAATGTTGCTTATTTACACTCTTGGTACCCATAAAGCTACTTTAGCTAACATTAGCATAAAACATAATTTCATGTATTATTAGAACAAGGACTGAGTCTTTTACTCTGTACAACAAATATTCCGTGTCTTCAGTTAATGTGTCCATACAATGGGGAAATGTGTTACTTAATATTAATACTTTGAATTAAGCTTCTAATAAAGCTAGCTAGCTAAACAATACAGCACGATATAGGAGTGATTTAAAAAAAATATATACGTATGTATGCCTGTATTATTCTTAGGTCATAAGTGATTAACCACTTTCCGATTTAGCTGAAACTCCC